GCAAGGGCTAAGACTTACCATCTATCTACAGCCCACACTGCATTCCCTCTGTGTTATCTTTATGGATGGATATCTGTGTAGCTGACATCAAGAAAGGATGAGTTGGCTGAAGAAGGTCCTGTGGAGATAGGATGCTCCTGTTTTGGCTCCCAACTAACAGCACGGGACAGAACAAAGTCATATGACTGGAACTTGACACCATGGCCAAAAAAGTAACTTTTGCCTGATTAAAGGTCATTAAAATATTAAAATGCACATCCCTGCATATGCTAATAAGCTTAATGAAGTACATGGTACCACATATATGATAATTCTCAACTTAGATCATGCTATACGTTACATAAGAGGAGGAAGATAATATAGGGCTATATATAAGGAGGGTAGAAATTTCACTTAGTGAGGAAGACGCAGAAAGACTTTGGAGACAGTCGATGGGCTACTCTTCTCTCCCCTCCCTCCTCCCAAGCAGGGACACCTTCTTGATAAAGTTTTGTGTATGATTATTATTACTCAGGTTAACACAATATTATTATTCCAAATCTGTATTTCTGTTGCTTCAATAAACCCCACTATTCGTGAATCTGTGATTGATCACAAGATTCTTATTGAATGCAACCGGACCTATATCATCGACTGGTAAACTGCACTATTTATAAATCTGTGCTCATGGAAGTTCCTATTGAACAGGACCAGACCTATAGAATTGAATTGGTTCTAATCAGAAATTAAGCCCAACCGCACCCAGCCCCTCTGATCTCTCTGACCAGCTAGAATGCAAGAGGAGTTATTTTCTGCCAAATTTCTTACTCTTAATGCAACACAGGCTGCTCAAAACAAAAATCCCATGTTACACAAAGAACATCATATAAGACTTTGCAAAGCAAAGGTTTTCATTCCCACCCATAGTCAGAACACCTGCCATCCAACAGTACTATTGTTCAAAAAGCCTTTAGTGCCTTGCTGACCTGTTTTAAGATGCTCTGAGGGGTTATTCTCACTCTGAGAGTAACAAAAAGACATGATTACTTCCTCTTACATTTGTTTCCCAGTATATAATCAAACAACACATTTTAGATGCACTCCTGAGCCCTGTGAATACATAGATGTGCAATATGTACAAAATATATTTTTAAGTTAACAGTTTTGACACCACTTACTTTCAAACTCTCAGGACCAATTAAAAGCAGAGTGAGTACAATATATTTGTTACATGCTAAGAGAACAGCAGGACAAGATTTCTCTTTTTGTTTAGAAACAACCTAAGTAGATACACTCAATTATCCAAAAGTATTAACTATACTTCATTTAAAATATAAGAAAGTGCAGTCAAGGGCACTCTAATTTCAAACCCGGCTGAAAATTTCTTCAGTCATCTGCACAAGCTGATACATTTGTGGACTGCTAATCCTTCAGTACTGACAAAGCAGTATGCTACTTCTATAAATTCATTATGAAACCAAAGGAATAATAGAACAGCCTCAGAAGCTTAAAATATTAGAAGTTTTTGGTGGTTTGTTGGTTGTTTGGGTTTTGGTTTTTTTGGGGGGGGAGGAAGAGAGGTGTGTGTATGTGTATGTGTATGTGTATGCGTGTTAAGTATTTTCTCTCCAAAGCATCTGAAATCCTCTAAAGCCTTGCAGGGATTACCATCTTCTAAATTTCCAAAACTTTTACCTTACAATCGCTTTTTTTTAAAGCTGAGTTTGAAAGCTAGCTGAGTGACCCAGTAACACACCATGTAGGGTGCAAGTTTATCAGGTACCAGTCCATAATTCAAATGTACCCCCAAGTCACGGACTTCTGTATCATACTACCTACCATTTAATGTTTTCACCCAGCATAAAATCCTAGAATCATTTAGGTTGGAAAAGACCTTTAAGATTGAGTCACACTTAACCCAGTACTACCAAGTCCACCACTAAACCATGTCCCTAAGTGCCACATTCACATGTTTTTTGAACACTTCCAGCGATGGTGACACTACCACTGCCCTGGGCAGCTTGTTTCAATGCCTGACCACCCTTTCGGTGAAGAAATTTTTCCTAATATCCAACCTAAACCTACCCTGATGGATCTTGAGGCCATTTTCTCTCATCCTGTCACTTGCTACATGGGAGAAGAGCCCAACCCCTCCACTCAGCTATGACTTCCTTTCAGGTAGTTGTAGAGAGCTATAAGGTCCTGCAGAGCCTCCTTTTCTTCAGGCTAAACAACCCCAGTTACCTCAACTGCTCCTCATGATTTGTGCTCTAGTCCTTTCACTAATTAACTGATCTATTTGTGTGTCAACTTTCCACACAGACCTTCCCAGACCATTTGAGTAACTTCTGTCTCAACAATAACAAATCTCCAGTCCCTTCATGTCTGGCAGTATGTGTGCTCCAGACTCTCCACGGGGTGCAGTCCTTCAGGCACAGCCTGCTCCAGTGTGGGTCCCCCATGGGGTCACAAGTCCTATCAGGAAACCTGCTCCAGCATGAGCTACTCTCTCCACGGGTCTGCAGGTCCCTGCTCCAGCACGGGCCTCCCACAGGTTCACAGCCTCCTCTCAGGCATTCACCTGCTCCAGCGTGGGGCTCCTCCACCAGCTGCAGGTGGATCTCTGCATCCCCGTGGACCTCCATGGACTGCAGGGGCACAGCTGCTTCACCACGGGCTGCAGGGGAATCTCAGCTCCAGCGGCTGGAGCACATCCTGCCCCTTGTCCTGGTTTTAAAAACTCATGGGGGAAATTAAGGCCACTCGAGCCGTCCCCTTTTCTATAACGTTGAAGTAAATACTAAGGAAGACTGAAGTCGGAGTCACAATTTACTAAAGAGGCTCGCAATAAACACAGCAATAATAATAATAAACGATTGTACAAAAATAAAATGGTATAGCCAACAAAGGCGATATGAAGCCTGAGGCAATATGGCCAAGGGTTCTGCGGTTTAACGCCCTCCCCCCCCCACCACTGCCAGAAAAAAACAAAACAAAATAAAAAAACCAACCAAACAACCCCCCCGCCAAAGAAAACAAAAAATCAAAACAAACAAACAAAAAACCCAACAAACAAACCGAAAATACAATGACTAAACAAGCCCTCCAGGAGCTCGGTCGTCCAAGCCGAGTCAACTCTCCCTCCACTGAGTTCAGTTTGGCACCAGGTTCCTGTACCGCCTCTACCACCGGTCTGCTGTGCTGGGGATGTGTGTGGGTTGGTTCTGCTGCTTCGCTGCCTCGTCCTAATACCCCGCTGGATTCCTTTTTCAGCTCTGCTAGACTCAGCTGATATCGGCACCGCCGTCTCTCCTCAGCCCCTCGTCCTGCTAAAACGTCCTGGAAGGACGGGAAGAGAGGAGAGAAATGGCAGGGTGCAGGGTGCCGGGGTCTGCAGGCCCCTTAGCTGAAGCGAGCCAGTCAAAAATTGCCACATTTGTTTCTGGCCATGGCATTTTTCCCCTACTGGAACTACTCCCCCAGCAGTGATGTGACTGGTATTAAATACACAGTGCTGAAAGCTTCACCCCTCCTTCTCCACTGATCCTCCTCTTCTTTCTCCCTTTTAATCGATGATATGGACCTGTAGTTTGCCTTATCCATTTTTTCTTTTTCACTACTGGGGCAATAACTGTAATTGTTCTTTGGGTCCCTATCTCAGCTATTATTATCCTCAAATGCAGTTTGGGTTCCTGCCTCAACTACAGTGCTCTGAGAGTACTGAACTGTGGCTCAATAGGCACAGGCCAGGCCCCAGTACAGGGTGAGGAGCTGCTGGTTTTCAGTGGGGTAGGCAAGGCACCCTTCTATCAGTTGACAGGTCAGTTTGTCAGGGTTGATTACCTGTTCAGGTGTAAAGTGCCAGGTAATGGGAGGTGAGAACTGCCGGAGGAACCTGCCCAAATCCTTCCACCCACCCTCCCAGTCAGGAACTGGATGCCTCAGGGCAGATTTCAATATCTCCTCACTTTAAGTTTGTTTTCTCTTACACCAGGATGACACCAGATTTCATGAACTCCATAGTGTACCAACAGTATTAGCTAATATCATTAACAGTATTAAGCAGCTTACATAAGGATGAGCAATGACCACAGGAGGCTGCATTATAAAAGCCTTCACAGCAATCTCAGGAAGGTAGAGGGAAGCTATTCCCTCAGTCCACAAAAGACAGTTCCCCCACCATAACAAGGCCATCAGTGTAAGGGCAAAGCGTAGAGCCATTGTTTGTGTTAACATGTTCCCAAACTCAGCAAAATAGAGATAAGGAGTGCAGCTGACAAACTCCATGTCCCCCACAGGAGCTTGCTACTTGATAACTACTATTTACTATACCATGATTTATATATTTATATAAATTTAACTGCACTCGTCTCACCCCACAGGTTGTGTGCCAAAAAAGGACTGTAGTGGGTTGACCTTGGCTGGACACCAGGCGCCCACAAAGCTGCTCTATTGCTCCCTTTCCCAGCTGGACAGGGGAGGGAAAATAAGATGGAAAACAACTTGTAGGTTGAGATAAGGCAGTTTACTAAAGCAAAAGCAAAAGTTTGTGCACACATGAGCAAAGAGAAAAAATAGGTTTATTCTCTACTTTCCATTGGCAAGTGATGTTCAGACACTTCCTGGGAAGCAGGGCTTCAGCATGCAGAGTGGTTGCTCTGGAAGGCAAACACTGTAAAGTAATGAATACCTCCATTCTTCCTCCCTCCCTTAGCTTTTATATCTGAGCTGATGTCTTATGGTATGGAATATCCCTCTGGGTAATTTAGGTCAGCTGGTTTAGTTGTGTCCCCACCCAGGATCTTGTCCACTTCCAGCCCCTTGATGGGGGAATGTTGGAGAGATAGCGCTGATGGTGTGCCAGTGCTGCTCAGCAGAAGCCACAACACTGGTGTGTTATCAGAACCTTTTCAACTCCCAATGCAAAGCACAGCACTGGGAGGGCTGCTGTGGGGAAACAAACTCCAGCTCAGCCAGACACAATATACCATGTTTCACTGAAGTAAAACATGTACAAAAGATGACATTTTCTGGATAAGACAATTTATTTTAACAAATGCATGCATCTTTATGATGAACTGGAGGCTGCAACAGCTGCTCTCTTGGGCTTTGGCGTGGCTCCCTCACGGAATCCATTCCTACAAGTAGAAATATGGTTATTATTTTTTGAAAGGTTGACTTTTGCTCCAAGTTATTTTCCAAGAAGCAATGTTTCAGATCAGGTTCATCAGCTTTTTTCAGCTTCTCTCAATAATGCACTGAAATCACTATGGAGTTCATATGTTCAGTGTTTTTTCTTAAGAAACATAATTCACAAACTGTTTGGAATAAGCAATATGGTTTTCTCTCTCTTCTGCTGAAGTAAATGACTTTTTCAAACAAGACTATTTCATTAACTGAGTAAACATTGTAAGACTGAATCCGATACAGCACACCCACTGAAGGCATGCCTTACTTTATGTTCCTACTAAGCAGCTTGGCAAAAGATTTCGCATTTGTTAGCACTGAAGTGCAAGTCAATTTCTTACAGAAATCGACCCCAAGCTTGCTTTTGGAGATGACATTTCTACTTCAGCAACACTTGGTAGAAATCAGGTTGCAGTTGCACATTGTAAGGTGTTTTCTGGATGCTTCTGGGAAAGACTATGCTTACAAAAAAACCACAGAAGAATGGATCCCTCAAATACACCTAGGTCCGGGACTTACTTACTTTTCACTATTAAATCCAATCTACATTTTTAGGAAAAGACTTTTGAATTGCTTGGGTTTTTTCATCCACCTTTCTGGTGTATTAGGCCAAAAGTTACAGAGCTGTGCTTTAGAACATGGAGGTCATACAAAAATAAATTCTTAGCAAGTTTAACAGTACAGTACCTTCTAAGTACAACTCAAAGCTTTATAACAGATTTTAGAAACCTGTAACTCAGAATCAGATGTTACTTACTAATTGTACTCCAAATGAAAGAGCAACTACTGAAGTATTTAAATCCTTTTCTTGTGGGCAAGAAGGGATTGGGATGCATTTCAAGAATTGTTTCTTAGAAAAATCCAACTTCAGTGCAACCATCAATTTCAGACTCCCAAAAAGAGGTAATGCTACACAAATAATGCCTTTTCAAATGTGAGTGCTTTATTACAATACCCTCTGTGTTCTGTACTATCTACAATTAACAGAAACATCAGTTTGCTATACAGCCTATGTTTTAACAATGAACGAGCTTTTTATAATTGGCAGTATATTCTTTTGAAGATATGACATCATTTATTTCCACAATATATTTTAATAGAAACACCATACCTCATCAAGCATACTAAATAAGTGTTAACTTTGAACGATGAATTTTATAATTCAGTGAAATCCATTGAAGATGTCAGATTACACTAGTTTGCAATAAAATGTCATACCTGAATCGACGGTAGACCCTTTTCAGGTGCCTCATGCGACCAGTACCAGTGGTGTTGCGTCTTTTAGCCTTTGCACTCCAGTTATCTAAAATATGTAAGACACGGTTATTTATCCACACCAAGTAATTTTGGTTGCAAGTCACATTTGCACGGTACAATTATTCAAGCTGACAAAAAAATTTACTATAATTGAAATCAGTTTCTGATTCATATACGCACAAATACTGCGTATTACCTAGCACATAGTTAAAGCATCATTAATTCGAAAAAAGGTCCAAACTGCAAAACAACGTTACACAAAGTTTTCCTCCTTGACTGGAAAACAAGTCAAACTACTGAAGAAAAAGTACACAATTTTTAAAACTACAGCCAATTAAAAGTTTGTTACTTACACTTTCTCTTACGCTTAGCAGGGTAACCACATTTCCCACAGGTAGATTTCTGCAGATGGTATGCCTTGGACCCACACCGGCGACACAAGGTGTGTGTCTTATTTCGTCGCTTACCAAATGATGATGTACCCTTTGTCTGAGAAATATTTCAAGACATTGCACATGGTAAATATCACTATCACTCAAAAGTCATGTAACTCAAAACACAGGCTTCTCTAAAAAACACTCTCAAATTCACCAAGTTCAGTAAACATGGCAGAGGCATACTGATCTCTGAAACATCGACTCAGTTTCTTTTATAGGTATCCTCCATTTTAAGAAACCAGTTTCTTACACTTCTCTTTGCCATTCCTATCCCCCTGCCCAGTGCTGAAATAAAATGAAGCCACCGAGTGGTTATCTCCAACTCCTTTCTCGTCTCCCTCAAATTTATCGGTGATAAACAGTAAACTGCTTTTTCCTGAAGAAATGTATTTATTTTCATAGATTAACCGTACACTCACAAGAGGCTTTGGCAATCAAACTTCCTCTTACTACGTTATCTGAAAGGCTTCCTCATCACTGGGAAGAGCGCTGTCCCGGCCAGGCCCGCAGCAAGCACGGAGGGCACCCCGAAGGAGATCCCGCGGTAGCACAGCCCCATACCCCATCGCTGCCTCTTCGCCCAGGACGCGATGTCCCACGCCCCCACACAGGCCAAGAACGGGGCTCACTGCCAGGCCTTCAGGCTCAGGTCCCAGCCTCGTCTCCCCGCAGCGCAGCCCCACCGCCGAGCCCGGCCACAGCACGGCGCACGGCCGCCCCGCGCCCCAGACGAGGCCCACGGCCTCACAGAGGCCGGCACGGCGGCGGATGATGACAGATATCACCGCACCCAAGCCCCAGCACTCACCATCTTCTCCGGGGGTTAGCACCAAAGAGACTATGCCCCGCCCCGCTTCCGCTATAGTCCGGCAAGCGCTTCCGGAGACGTGCTTGGGACTGTTCGGTTGGGCATGGCGGAGGCATCCGATCCGGTGGCCCGGCTGGATAGGCCCGGCCCTGCTCGGCGCGGCAGAAAGTGAGTGGTCTCCTTGTCTTAGCCTCACCTCAAATTGTACTCAGGAGTCCCCCCATGTGATGTCCCCTTCCCGCCGGGCCCGGCCTACTGGGATAGGCAGGGTCCCTGAAAGCTGTGGTGTCGTGGGCGAGACTCTCGGGGGCCAGACCCCAAAGGTTCCTCAGTGACATCACACAAAACCTGGTGCTTATTAGGGCGACACAATGTGTCCTAGGCCATGGTGCAACTGGTCCTGGAAATAATGATTAAGGGGTATTTATGTGTAAATTTAACACACTTAAGTTGCCTTAGTGGTACATAATTTTTAATTCTAATGCATCTTCCCTGCAATAGTACCCATGCTGCTATTCACAGGGGCCTACAGCTCCACTTCAGGCTGCAGAATCAAGTGAAACCTATTTTCATGACTGAAATGAAAATTTCCCCTTCAGGGACAGGATATTTGTGGCTGTAATACATTCAAAGTGAACTGCCTTAAAAAATAGGCACGCTGTGCTTGTCAGTGTCCCTCCCAAGCCCCACACATGCAAGGTGACAGTCTGCCTAAAGCATTGCAATGGACATCATTAATGTAAAATTGTTTTTTATTCAGATGCACTACTTAAATTCTTACATGCCAGCTGTTGTGGTTTAACCCCAGCCAGCAACCAAGCCTCACACAGCCGCTTGCTCACTCCCCCATCAGTGGGATGGGAGTGAAAATCGGAAGGGTAAAAGCTAGAAAACTCATGGATTGAGATAAAGACAGTTTATTAGGGAAAGTGTGAAAAACACGTTCACTCTCCTGTGATAATTTAAACGGTTTAATAAAGGACAATAGGAGATAAAGACAGTAAAGCAAAGATTGGCACTCAGCCAAGAGCACACCTTCATCTTCTGAGATACCCCTTAAATACCTTTTCCATTACATCAGCATGTTGCATATTCATAGACCCTTATGCATATCCATAAACTAGTTTACATATCCCAGGAACTATTTTACATGGCCCCTCCTTGGATCCAACGTTTTAGAGCATGTGTGTTTCTTGGCTGTGGTTTTGGCTCCTTATCACTTCCAGTTTGGGCCTTGGTCCATACTTTCTTCAGAGAGCAGATGTTGATAGTTGGCATATCAATAGCAGGGTCCTCATTACATGTTCACTGGATGTTATCCTGACCAAACAGACAGTTCACTCATAACTATATCAGCTACCCCTACTACTATGTCTAAGTTTTTGTTAATAGCAGAAATAAAAGCAAAGTTATTTTAACATTATACGTATAACATTAATCCTAATATTTGCAAAAAGCCAACAACATAATATGTATTTATAACAATCTCTCCTCTTCCCTTTTTACAAATCATTTGGCTTGAACAGTATTTCTTGTTTTCCATCCTCCATTATTTGCTTATTTTTTTCATAAATAATTTTTCCTTCCTCCAAGGGGTCTTCCATATTATTTTGTTTCTTTAACACCATAATCTTTTGTGCAGTCCCAGATGTAGTCAATTTTGGGTCTATAGGCATTGTTACCACTTGCATGCCCCAGACTATGCTGGTGATTAGCCAAATAAAGCAGGGGATCAAGCAGGGAAGAAATATGAAACCAGCTGTAGCACATAAAAGGAAGAAGCCTAGTTTCTTCCTCCATTCTGTTCGCAATGCATTATGCCACCAGCTAGTTTTTAGCATTGATTCCCACTTTTGGACTGGTATATGGGCTATTTTTCTGATATCATTGACTATATCTAGGACGGCATCTCCGTTGTCATCTATTTTGAAACAACAATCTGATGTATTAAATTTTCCACAAACACCCCCTTCTTCAGCTAATAAATAGTCTAAGGCCAACCTATTCTGATACACGGCAGCTCTTATTTGGCTTTGTTGCCTTGATATTAATTCTATTGCCCAACCAGCTCTGTTTGTTATTATTTCTACAACTGCTTGGAGTCTTATAATACGATTCAGCATATAAATTGGGGTCTGATATCCCCAACTCCCATCTGGTGCCCAGGTGCTTGGCCCATATGTTTCCACTATGCGTTCAAGGGGCCATTCCTCATCTCCCCATTTTTGGGATCCCCTAATCAAGTCCCTTTTATTTCTTTTTAGGTCCTCATAAACTGGAACTCCTAAATGATCTCCATTTGGTCCTGGTAGAAGAAAGAATCCTGGTTGTATAATTCCCAAAGTGCAACTCCCTCTCCAACTAGAGGGGAGTCTTGGGTATGCTTTCTTTCCACATATCCAAAATAAGCCATCTGGTGCCTTCTAATAATAATTTTTCTGTTGATTTGTAGTCTCACAAAATTTGGATATTTCTGGGATCCCAGAATAAGGATTTTTGCCTATATAATTACATTGAAAAAGTCCAATTTCATTATTATATTTACAATTCCTCTTTTTCATTTCTCCTCAAGTCCAATACTGAGTTGGTTCCTCTGGGATCCACCATGTAGAAGTTCTATTACTAACTTTATATCTCTTACAGGGAGTATTTCCTCCTTCATTATGAAAATTTTTCCCAGTGCGCCAGAGACATTTTTCTCCTATCACTGTTGAGCTTAAAATCCACCCTTCTGGTCAGTTTTCCCCCCTTGTATTTGTCTGGTTCCACTTAAGGAGTTCAACTGGGCTTAGGCTACTGCCTTTCCATGGCCGTTCTTATGACATCAAAGCTCCCCCACAGACCCAACAGTTGGTTAAGTTCCTTACTTATTCTTTCCCCTAATTCCACCAACAGATTTTTCCCCAGTCTCAATATATCTATTTCCTTTTCTAATTGCTGTTCAAGTTTTGTATATAAATCTTGAAGTGAAATTGGCACAGATTTTGATTGCTGTACTAGTTTTGCCTTTCTGCTTACCAGTTGTTCTTTAACCAAATCTTGGACCTTACTCCCACTAGCAAAAGTGAAACAAACCCATCTCTCTCCTTTAGGACATATTCAGGTCAGTTTTCCCCCCCTTGTATTTGCCTGGTTCTACTTAAGGAGTTCAACTGAACCTAAGCTACTGCCTTTCCATGGCCATTCTTAGGACATCAAAGCTCCCCCACAAACCCAACAGTAGGTTAAGTTCCTTACTTATTCTTTCCCTTAATTCCACAAACAGATTTTCCCCCAGTCTTGAGATATCTATTTCCTTTTCTAATTGCTGTTCAAGTTTTGTATATAAATCTTGAAGTGAAATTGGCACAGATTTTGATTGCTGTACTGGTTTTGCCTTTATGCTTACTAGCTATTCTTTAACCAAATCTTGGATTTTACTCCCAGTGGCAAAAGTGAAACAAATCCATTAGGGCATTCACTTCCCAACCTGTTACCACTTGTTCCTAAATTCTCCACAATCCAGCACTTTTTCCCATTTTGTATACAATTGCCTAATTTGGATGGGTTATAATAGTGACTGTTGATATGGGTGTGTGTAATAAAAAAGGAACCTTGGTGTCTTTCCATATACAGCTTTTGGTAACATCTATGACATGACTTTGCCGGTATCCCGAAAGGGAAAAGACAAAAGATGAGTGACAGAAAAAGGAATAACAGAGGTCCCGTATGGCTTATGCCCCCACCTCCCCTGCCTATGGGGTTGCTACCCATAGCAGGTGTATATGATCTTCTTGGTGGAGAGTACAGCAGCCAATCCAGTCTTGCCCTCTTTTCCTTGTCACTTCCTTTTTGCTAAATTCCAGGCAAATAGTTTTTGACACTCCTTAACTGTAGTTTCCCACTGTTCTTCAGGTATTTTCCATTCAACAGGCACTAATAATTCCCATCCACAAAACAAAGTTATTATTTCAGTTGTTTTGAGTTCTACCTGGATAGAAGACAGATTTGGCACTCGACACTTCCTGCAAGGAGAGTGTTGATTGTGTGAAGTACAATACCAATTTTCTCCACAATTTAAACATTTACATTTAACCCAGCTAGCATGTCTGGTATTTGGATGAATCAAACAAGGTATTTGATATGGCACTGATAGAAGCTGTAATTCCTCCTCTTCTTTGTATAAGTCACAGGCTAAGGTCAGAATACAAGAACTCTCTGTCCAAAACAGTCCTGATCTTCCTGTTTGAAGTGGAAGTATTCCTCCCCAAGGAGGGTATTGGAGGTGTCTCAGGACTTATCCAGGTGGCACTTGAAACCACTGATATACGCTCGACCTTATTTCCCAATTAAGTGTAATTCTTCGTACATTCCTTGGATCATTTGGGTCCTCCCAGTTCATTACCACCTGGTCCCCACTTGAGAGTCAATTTGGTATCACCCGGTTTAGATGTTATAGTCCATTCCTCAGGTTCTTCCACAGGTCCTTTGATTCTGCTGGTGTGGATCCACCCTTGTTCCCTGGTCTGGATCACTGCCTCAGTTGTCAGTAGTACCTGAAAAGGACCTTCCCATTGTGGGGCTATTTTGCAGTGCTTTTCCAGCGCGCTGAGCCTGGTGTGGACAGCGTGCAAAACTTTAGATAAGATAACAATAAACAAGAAGCTGAAGACCGAAAAAGTCCTGTGCATCTCTTTTTCCTGGCACAGAACTGCTACAGGAGGGTTTCCCCCATCCAGGGAACCCCAGAAGGGCCCGACGTAAAACAAACATCAATAACTGGTGCCCCAACAACCCTTTTATTTGCCTTTTGACAAATTATGCACCTTTCAGTTACTTGTTTTGCCAATCCAAAAATTCCAATACACCCATAATTCCTTAGAAAGTGATCACACAGAGCTTGAGCACCTGTCATGGATTGAGTCTGGCACAGTGCCAGTGCCTCTATGAAAGGTGTATTTCTAAAATGGTTACTGTGAGATGTGACCCGGGAATAGAACAAAGCAGGTTCCAACTTGGGAATGGAGGAAAAAAACCCAACACTTTATTAATCTACATAGACACAAAAAGGAAGGAAAAAAAAAAACCACACCCAACAA